GTACAGAACACCGCATTCAGGACAGCGACAGGATGCCTCCTGATGTCGCCTGAACATCATCTACACGGCGAGGCGCAAATGCTCCCCGTAAAGGAGCACAATATAATGCTCTGCAAGCAGTTCCTGATCGGGAGCCACAGAAGTGGCCACCCAAGCAGACAGCTGCTTGCAGAGGGGCCCTCGCCTAGGCACGTCAGGAGGCATCTATATGAACTGACAGACGAAGTCCAGAGGTTCATCAAGCAACCTCTGGACCCGACAGGCCCTGAACGGCATTCACAGGGACTCAGTCTCGAGTTATGTAGACTCTAGACCTGTGAATGCCGTTCTAGGCATACCACCCCCGGACATAGACGAGACGGAGCTTCATCTGCCTCGGGAGACCCGCACAACACTTGCACAACTTCGCTCCGGCTACTGCAGCAGGTTGAACTCCTACCTGAGTAGGTTGAATGAGGATGTGCCGAATGAGTGTCCGGCATGCGGAGAGACGCCACATGACTCGAAACATCTCTTCGCATGCCCGGAAAACCTGACAACCCTAACGGCCTTGTCCTTGTGGACAAACCCCACAGAAGCTGCACGCTTCCTAGGGTTGCCGTTAGTGGAACTTGACGACAACGACTGATTTACCAACCGTCCTGGGCGGCGTTGTTGTAGCCGCTACAACAGCAACAACAAGAAGCTGCAATAGCTTACAAAAATTCAAAAGTTTATTATACGAGCATTGCAAAAAACACATATAAGATTGCTATTGGGCCTCCCCATTCTAACAAGATACTAGCGTATGAGAGACGTTACGAGCATGGATCGGAAACCCGGCCTTCCCGACCATGCCCAACAGCTCGTTCGTAGCACGGAGCGGAAACTAGAGCTTTCCGCCCGTTTCACAGCAACATAATTATGAAAAGAACATGGATCGGAAACTCGGCCTTTCCGACCAGGGTAAACGCCTTTATTGACGCAGAGCGGAAACTAGGCCTTTCCGCCTGCTGAACATAAAGATATCGGCAGCTATCCAACCCGAGGCTATAATGTACGTGTCATTAATTAATTAATTGTACAATAAATAAATATGTATAAATGCATAAAGTATGTATTTGAAAATAAGTAAAAATTAGTAAAGGAAATAAGAAAAATGTTGATGTATAGTATTAGTAGAAGAGAAATCAATTAAATTAAATAAGTTAATAATGTAATTGACAAGATTTTTTATAGGTCTTAAAGACTGTCAATAAATAAATAAATAAATAAAATAAATAAATAAAAAACTGGCGTGTTTGAAACAGGAGCTAATATCGTTTATAAACAGGACAAACAATAGGGGGCCAAGATGTTACAACAAAGGGATTAGATTGACAATCATCGATATGAACAGACAGAGTCCTATTTGTAAGGTAAGACTTTAGCCAAGCTAGGAAATTAGAGTGAACACCAATGCACTCCAACTTGTGTAGCAATAATAGGTGTGGTACCTTATCGAAGGCTTTAGAAAAGTCCGTATAATTGGTGTCTACCTGCGAGCCATCTTTGAAGGAAGAAACACAAAATTCTAAAAAAGAAGCTAAATTAGTGACCGTTGAACGACCAGCTGCAAAACCATGTTGGTGGGGCTCAATCATTCTTTTGGCAAGAAAAGAGAGTTTAAAATGTATCACTTTTTCGAATAGCTTTGAGCAGACAGACAGTTTCGAAATAGGCCTATAATTTGTATAATTTGTGATATCGTTTCTATTTCCAGATTTAAAGACTGGGGTTATAGACGCAATTTTCCATCTATTAATAAATAATCCAGTCGAAAGGGATAGGTTGAATATATGACATAAAGGAATACATAATGACAGACTATATCGTTTAACGAAGTGGGCACAAAAACCATCAGAATCACATTTCAATATCGGAGTTAGGGTAGACAAGGCGTAAGTAATGTCAGTTGTCGAGACAATCAACGAGCCAAAATCTAGGCGTTGGGTCGGCCAGTAATTTCGTGGTAGATTTATAGAATCACTCTCACAGGCGAAATACGAGCTGAAAAATTTGCAAAAAGTTCCAAAGTATCTGGTAGAGATTTCGAGGATTGACCGTTAAAGTACATGCAAGTCGGAATATTAGAACTAACCCTAACTAACTAACTTAGAGCGTACGAAATTCCAAAAAGCTTTTGGGTTGTCTTTAAGTTCAGACTCAAGTCTCCTAATGTACTGGTTATAAAGAAATTTATCAAGAACATTAAACTGTTTCGCATAGTTAAGGTATTGCTCTTTGAGATAAGTATTGTCAATATTTGCCATATGGCGCTTGTAGCATTTATTTATCTTATTTTTCAGATTTTTTAGAGTGACAGAGTACCAGGGTAATTTATGAGGCTTGGAGGGTAAAGCAGACAGTTGCTCAGAGAAGACTTCAGACATAATGCAAAGAAAGGTTTCATAAGAGGCATTAACATCTTTTGAATTGAAGATATCACACCAATTTACGTTATTTATATCCAGGTTTATGCCGTCATAATTTGCATCCCGAAAATTGTAGGAAATCCTATTATTTTGTATTAAGGGAAGCTTATCAAAAAACTCTAAAGAAACAATAAGGGGATTATGATGCATATCGGAATAACAGATCGGAGTCTAACATTCAGAGAGATTAGATATCAAATTTTCGTCTACAAACACTAGATCTAATAATTTAGATAACTTATTGAATATGCAATTAATTTGCGTAAGATTAAGGCTAAAAAGACTATCAATAAAGTTTATTTCATGCGAACGAGTAACGTTGGTTGGGGTAAGGCACCCCGAGTTTTGAAAGCATGTCCAGTTAATGCCAGGGAGATTGAAGTCGCCAAGAATACAAAGATTACAATTTTCATTACTTTCATAGATGTGTGTGATATTCTCTATGTGATAGTTATCTCATCTGAACTGTTAGGTGGGACAAATGATACACAGATAAACAAAGAGCCGAATGAGCCGAATGAGCCAACAACGCGCACACATAATTGGTCAATTAAAGTATCGTGGTTGAGCAATTCAAAAAATTACGACCTTAAACTACGCCTTAAAGCAATTAGTACACCACCCCTTTGAAGTGGCCAGTTTTCTCAGCATCACGGTCTTTCCTATAAGTCTGGAATCAAAGTATTCTTCACTGAAGAAATTACTATTAAGCCAAGTTTCCACAAAGATATATATGTCATAATCCATACGTGAAGGACAAAGAAAGACTTCTTTAGCTTTCGTGCGCATTCCACCCATATTCTGGAAGTATATATTCAGATGTTTGCATGTATATTTCGGCATTAGACTGTATAACACTATTTGTTTGAAAAAATCGAAAGGGCCGCACAATGATATCAGACGGCCACACATTTGGATTTAAGATGTTGTTGTAGAGGGAAGATATCACACCAATCTTAAAGTTCACGCTCCGAAGACTCTCAAGTGGAGTTCATTTTTTTACTAATTTGTAGCACGTAAGGTGCGTACTATCGATCTTTGCATGTTTAGATACATTCGCAATAAGGTTTTCCTCAGATACAGACGGTTTAAAGGAGGAAATGTGCAACCACGCTAGACGTGTATGTTAAAGTTTTTGGATGCGGGTTATGCTTTTGGGCACAATAACCGAAAATCATTGTACAAATAACTAAACCGAAGCCAAGGTTTTCCCTAAGGGGCAAAAACGATTCTTGTTTGCTCGTTTATATAAAGGAGTGGATAAAAATATACGTATATGCGAAAGGCATATTTATCTCCTTAAATGAACACCACTAATATTTCCTGCAAACACACATCAATTTACATCTTTTATCTCGCCTCAGCCACAGAATTGTTTTCGTACAAAATTACGCAAAAAGCTTACTTGCTCGTTTTTAGGCATGCCATTGTTACGAATTTCGAAAGGTCGAAAATACGATTCGGATTGCAGCATACTATTTCTACGATTTGTAGCAAAATCCGAATACGAAAGAGTTGCAGAATAGGGATGTAAATCATTGTTTCGCGATTTTTTGTTGCATATTCGGGTAAACTATGGTGAACATCTAGAGATTAATATGCGTTCATTTCATGCATTTATTTATGTGATTTTAGTACTAATAAAGTTGAGCTGGATGAAATAGTTTACGAAAAACTTTTGAACGGTTTAAAAAAAATTAGTTTCATAATTCGGCTTCTTAATACTGACAGTAATACGCGTCGTTCGATTCCTTTGCCCCATTTTTCGGTGGGGACCATGAGCTGCACTATAACCTTTGTTGTAGTAGTGAAGATAATTGAAAATCAAACTGCCTTAATAACAATAGTAACTACATTGCGTGAGCAATTAATTCAGACAAAGAAGGCCTTCCCTAACAACCCCACCAAATTTCTTGATATAATTCATATACATTCATTGAAATCTCGAATGATTCCGGATTGGAAAGCTAATATGGAACTTACATGAGGCGATTTTTCAGGCGATTTTTAGTTAAAAGCAACAATCGCCTGGTGTAAACAGCCTTTCAACTAATCGCTTACAATGAAGTTGGTCGGCTCCCTACTTTCGTTCAACTTTTGGTTCAACTAATCGCCTGTGAAAGTTGAATCATGTAAATTCCCTATAATAAAATTATAGGTTAAACAACTAAAACCCCCTAGTATAATCCCCATTTGTATTGTTATCAGGTATGTAACTTGAGAATAGAAATCGCTGCATCTTTTAGGCGCATCAATTTTACATAGTTACATCACGAGCTAATAAAAGGTAAAAAAAGGTGTTCGCACGAGGCGATTTGCGTTCAACTCACGCAGGGTTGCACGAAAAAAAAGTTGAATGGCTAAATGTTGGCTGGCGACCTACTTTATTGAAAGCGATTAGTTGAAAGTCCGTTAAACCAAAAGTAGAATGCAAAGTTGAACAAATGCAAAAGTCCTTTTATGGCAACTAATTCGATATTTTTAGCCATTACATTTTTTTTCGTGCAAACCTGCGTGAGTGGAACGCAAAAATTAACTGAAAAATCGCCAGGTGCGAAAGCCCTATAACCCCAACTCTTGCCATATTAATGAATACTTGAGGGTATTATTGGTAAATATGTATATCAAACCTGCTGCCAAAGCTGCTCCAGCTTTTCGAGTTATCATTGCCATAGGGAAATTCCAAGGGGTTATAAGCGCAGCTACGCCCAATGGTTCTTTTAATACAATTAATTCTCGATCCTTGGTTGAACTTGGGATAATCTCTCCATAAATTCGTCGAGCCTCTTCACCAAACCACTCAATAAAAGCGTTACCGTAAGCAACTTCTCCACGGGCTTCATTTAGTGGCTTTCCAGACTCAGCAGTCATAATTGAAGATATCTCATCAGCGTTTTCCTCAATCAAACAATACCATTTCTGCAATGTTTAATTTAACCTAATACTGAACATTTAATTAATGTTAACTCCTACAACCTTCAATAAACTCGAGCGTTCTTTGGCCGTAAACATGGACCATTGCGAAGACTCAAATGCTTTCTTTGCCGCCTGCACTGCTTGGCTAGCATCATTTACGCTCATATTAGGCACAGATCCAACCACAGATCCATTTGCTGGATTGATAATTTCGAAAACTTCATTATTCTCTGCTTTAACCCATTTGCCATTAATATATGCTTTACTCTGCACCAACGAAGAAATATACCTTAGATTAAGCCTTTGACGAAAGTTTTTAAAGCAAAACATCGTAAATCTATATCATCCTTAGCAGGAATTTCAAATAGGAATTTCTGAAAAAGATCGATGCATCGAAAATATCGATTTCTTATTTTGAGGCATCGAAAATTTTCACACGCTGTGTACAGCCAAATAGGAATTTTCGATATATAACAAAGTATCGATATGGCAATATATCGGGCTGAACAATGGCTGAATTTCTTTATTCATTCTGAACGTTTGGAATAAACTTTTTTGTTTACTTATTCTTTAGAACGTTCCTGATGATATGTTAACGTATATTTCAAAAGCATTCTGTTTATTCCGGCTGTGAAATGGGATTATCCGGAATGTATAAAGAAACGCAGCCAATATCACATCGGAAAATTCCATGTTGAAAATCCTACTCCAAATTGAATGGGCCATGTCTCACGATCAATATTAATTAACGTGATTCAAGTATCGCGATATTTATTGACTGTGTAGCATGCAATATTGATGGATCGTGATCCATATCGCAAAATTTCTAGAAATTTTATTTTCATTTGCTTAATTTTATATCACTTTTTTTACTATTAGTTAATTTAAATTTTAAGAGTTGAATTTTATTAAAAAGTCCACAACAACTAATTGAAAGCAACGTAAAAAAATATAGAACTTATAAAAAAAAGATTGAAAATGAAATAAATGAAAATTCTACTGGCCGTGGGACTGGAACCCACTACCTTGCGGCTCGTATATCCCCGTTACTGCCGTCTGTAAGGGTAAAATTGTTATGCGCATATGTGTGCCAGATTATATGCATATATGTCGTCTATCACATCTTTAAGACATAGTGCGAATACTTGTTTCAACTGCGATCTTATATCTGCTTCTAATTCACTGAAAATACTGGGTATAAGTTTTTCCGATATTGCTTTTCGGCTGGGAATTTTGTAATGAGAGCTCTGTGACACCTTTTCGATTGGCTTTATCATTTCGGACTCCTCTACTAATCGCAACGCATGATGGCCTTTTGCAATTATTTTCACAAGTTTGTCAATTTTTTGTTCAACTCTGCTAGTTGTATGCATCTCGTCAAGCGCTACCATCGATAGTACTATCGATAGTCAATGTAATGTTAATAACTGTTCAAAATTAACCGGGACTACACACAGTGCTTCCCTTCCATATAAAATGTGGGCAAAAATTGAAGGGTACGGTTTAGTAAGTGGCCCACCTATTTCGGGGTATTGCGTCCAAAGGCGTGACCCGATCCAAAAAAAAATTGCACACACTTGTAGCCAAGGGTCTACCCATTACTTTAACATCCACTATTGTAATTTTTGGTCACTAATTTATTTACAAATTGGGTTTGAAATATGCCATTTTTTGTAAAATTCGGAAAATAGCTCACATTTATAACTCCTATTTTCCTTAAAGCAGCCACTTCACTAATGCATTTTTATATTCCCCTTCACTTTAAACTTTATTCGACTTGTTACAACTTTCTTTATTACTTTAATTTTAATCTATCAATCACAATTTATTAAATAAAAACATCTTCAAAACCACGCGTTTGCCTTTGGTTGCATATGCACATTAAATGGTGGCGTTTAGCTGTCAAACTGCTAAATATACAAGAAGGATGAGAGACAAAAGAAAATATGATATAACCCAGTCAGCATTAAAAATATAAACCTTTCCATGGAAAATATGTATTTACTGTCCCTGTGGCTCCTTTCGCTGAGGGTTATAATCCCTAAATGCGGCCGAAGGCCGCCTACGCAGAAAGGTGTTCTATGCAAAAGGTGTTCGGCCCCTTTTCTTTGGCACCACAGAAAGGAGAATTCTACTGCCTGAGGGTTATAATCCCTAAGTGCGGCCGAAGGCCGCCTACGCAGAAAGGTGTTCGGCCCCTTTTCTTTGGCACCACAGAAAGGAGAATTCTACTGCCTGAGGGTTATAATCCCTAAGTGCGGCCGAAGGCCGCCTACGCAGAAAGGTGTTCTATGCAAAAGGTGTT